ATTTCCCATCATATCACTATTCATAAAAATCAATTTTCCCCCCAAAAATCTCTACCAAACAAGCTCTGTTTTTAATCTATATCAAATATGGACTAAAATTTTATCTTTAATTGTTATGTAATTCAACTCTAGTGTATATTTAGCCTCTGGGTTTTTTTCAAAAACTAAGGGGCTGTTATCTTTGTATTTCAATTTTGTATTTTGAGTTTTCAATTCATTTTGGGTTTTATGTTTTGAGTGTCCATTTTGAGATTGTTGAAAATGTGTTCTTTTTGGCATTTTGAAAAATTATTTTCAAAAGTCAAAAATTGGAAAATCCGTTCTCTCTCTCTTTCTCGTCCCTTTAATTTTACAAAAAAAACAGATTAAGTTTTTGGGATTAAAAAATTAATCTTAAAATAAACCCACTATTCATCTCCATCTTCGCAGAGCAAAGCTTTCCTTGACGGTGGGGAGTTATCAACAAATGTTGCAGAATTCATCTCCATTTGACAAATTCTGATAGCCCCAAACAATTTCTCGGACAATTCTTCCTCCAATTGCGCCTCCACCAAGAAACCCATGTCGATTGTCACCACCGTAACGTAACCCAAAGCCAGCGCAAAATCGTGGTGGCAATTGCTGAGCTACCAATATCAACATCTATTTCAAGATAATTAGGCCATTCATGGTAATGACAATTTAGGGCTTTACTTAATAGGCACGCAAAGTAATTTCTAACTGCAGTTTTCACGATCCGTGGTCCCATGACAATTTTGTTCACGATCCGTGGTGTGGCATGGTTTTTGGGTGTAACGGTGGTTGTGGCTGTGGTGGATGGTGGCGAATTTGGCGGTTGCGTGGTGGTGGTGTGGTGTCGACTACGGCAGTGGTGGTTGGAGTGATGTTGTGGCGGTGGCAGCAATGGAGGCGATTGCGGCTACAGTGGTGTGGTGCAGGCAGCGTTGGTGGCGGTTGGGGTGACGTTTACCTGAAAATACCTAAAACGTGTTTTGAAAATTTTGGCTTGATTATAACTAAAAAACACTCAAAACGACAAATTTGTCTTTTCGGGGTTTTCTTTGTAAATTTTTAACGTGTTTTCAAAAACGCATTTTCGAGAATAAGAAAGTGAACGCGTTTTCACTATTTTGGAAAATCGAAAACAGAAAATGGCTTTAAAATGGTTGTGTTTCAGTTTTGAATTTTGAGTTTTGAATTCATTTTGTGTTTTGTATTTTGAGTGTTAGTTTTGAAATTGCTAAAAATGCGTTCTTTTTGTCATTTTGAAAAACTGTTTTTCAAAACATAAAAATGGAAAACGCATTTACTTTGAATTTTTGAGAATAT